AATTATGGGGGTGTTTCTGAGGGGCGAGGCAACAAATTCTGCACAAGCAGAGGCAAGTTTCCGCTGAAAAATGTGACAAAAGTGGTGGAAAAAAATGTCTTTCCCGTCAATATTTCTGGTGGGAAAACAAGTGGCCGTTCCCCAGGGCTTGGACCATGGCCAAGAAGGTTCCAACGTGGGTGCAAGGGGTGGGAAAATGAAATTATGGGGGTGTTTCTGAGGGGCGAGGCAACAAATTCTGCACAAGCAGAGGCAAGTTTCCGCTGAAAAATGTGACAAAAGTGGTGGAAAAAAATGTCTTTCCCGTCAATATTTCTGGTGGGAAAACAAGTGGCCGTTCCCCAGGGCTTGGACCATGGCCAAGAAGGTTCCAACGTGGGTGCAAGGGGTGGGAAAATGATGGTTTGATTGCTCTGTGCCTCAGGGCGGTTGTTTCATTGTAAGTGCAGCGAGAGAGACCTTTGGGCTTCGTGAGCACCCTAAAAATAGCAGCAGGGAGGTTGTCTCCAGCTAGCAGCTCAAATCTGAGCTTGGCTGCCTTCCTTGTGGTCTGAGCACAGAGCACTAATGCAAGTCACTAGCACTGCGCCTGACAATGTCCCTCGCACACTCCAGTGAAGCTCGCACGCCTAGTGTCACAAGCAGCACTGCTCGGTGGGAGATGTCTTCTGCCAGCACGTGCTCCCGGCTGTCCTCCAAGCTCCTTACCCATTGAAAAAAAAACAATGAAAAAAGTCTGCCCTCCTCCCCCCAGTCACCAGTAAAGTTTTCTTTCCACTGCAGAAGACCTTTTCAGTCCACCCACTGCTCTGCGGCCCAGAGACCAACGCTGGGGTTTGGAACCCAGCTTGAGAACAGCTGGCAAGCGTGGCTGTGAGAAGTGATGAAGAGTTTCACAGCTGTAAAGGTCATTGGCGCGTCTTGTCTAACATCCGCAGGGCAGGCCAGAGATTATTAAAAGTTCTAAGGTTGAGGCCGTAGCGGCCGTCTGAGAGAGAGCGTGTCTTTTAGACCAAACACCTTCCTTTCAGGAGGCGTGATCGTGCTTCCCTCCATGGTGAACAGAGGTGTGGCCCAATGACAGACTACTTTTGACGTGTCAAAAGGGAAAGTGGTCAACATTCTGATTTGGGGTCAAAACAGCCTTTTCAGCTATTTCTACCCCAAAATGTATTTTTGTGAGGGTTTAAAAAAAACTCCAAAAAACAGCATATTTTGTTGTTTATCCTTCCCTCCACTTTTTGTCCCCTTTTCTTTTTTCAAAGTGGCAAAAGGAAACAAATCAGGAAGAGAAGGGTGGAAAAAGAGGGGTGGGGTGGGAGTCCAATACTCACGCCCTGCAAAATGGAAGAAAGATTGAAAATGGTAAAGGTCTGCAGAAGTGTCTGAAAACGTCCACGTGCAAAAATGACACGTTTTTAAACCTGCAAAATGAAAACGGTGAGATGCTGTTTCCTTCCCCATATTTTTATGGCACTATGTTTTGGAATTCAAGAATGAACAGCCGGAATATGCTTTATGCAAAAATGTGGCAATCAACCTCTTGTTGAAAAGTCTACAATCCACAAAAATGTGTATATTCTGGTAGGGTGTATCTGCTAAGCAGCGTTATTTCGGAATAACAGGCGTTATTCCGAAATAACAAAGAGCGCGTCTACACAGCAAGCCGTTAACTCGAAATAATGTTGAGCTGGAGGACTTCGTACTCCAATTCTCGTAACCCTCATTTCGTGAGAAGTAAGGGACGTCGAAGGCTCTGTCTAGACTGCAGGCTTCTTTTGGAAAAAGCTTTTCTGGAAGAGATCGTCAGGAAAAACGTCTTTCGAAAGAGAGCATCCACACAGCAAAAACACAATGAAAAAGCAATGTGCTTTTTCGAAAGATAGCATCCACATTGATTGGATGCTATCTTGCATTTCAGTTGTGATTACTGTGGACGGAGTGGCCACCAGGGCACCTGTGCTTTTTCCTGGAGGTCTCTTCTTTCGAAAAAACGCTTTCTTCCGCATCCACACACGCCTTTTTCTGAAAAAGCGTTTTTGGAAAAAGGCTTCTTCCTTGTAGAATGAGGTTTACCGCCATTGGAAAAAAACTCCTCTGTTCTTTCAACTTTCTGTTGAAAGAATGCAATAGCTGCGTGGACATAAGTTTTGTTTTTCCAGAAAAAAATGGCCATTTTTCCAGAAAAACTCTGCAGTGTACACATACCTGAAGGAAGAATACTCTTCCTTTGACTTCTTGCTGCATAGACAGTGCCAAAAGCCACATTAGGCTATTTCGACTTCCGCTTATGTAATTGGCATAGCTAAGGTTGCGTAGCTTAATTTAGCTTTTGGCCTGCCGTGTAGGCATGCCCTTAGTGTGCATGTATCATTCTTGTATGTGACATTAGTAATATGGAGTGTAAACCTGTTCTTTGATCTAGCTCCTCTAGTGAAAGCCATTAGTGGTATTTAAGGAACTGAATGGTCCGGTGCTCAAGGCAAGGATCTATGAATAGTCTTGTTTTTTCCTGTATGCCTGGACTATGATTGGTCCTGTTAAGATGTCACCTGATGTTGGAACCCATTTTGAACATGGTACTTTTCCATTGGAGGGTAGGAAAGGGTTGAAGTTAAACACAAAGGATTTCCACCTTAGAAAAAACCATTTATAAGAAGAGCACCAAGCCAAAGGGGTGCTGACAGTTGAAAGACACTCCCTGCTTACTACCAAGATGACTGATGGAAACATCTGAGACTGAAGAAGGATCAAGCTCAAGCAAGGAGGCTGCCTAGCTTGTGAGAAAAGATGATCACTTCTGTTAGGTGAGAAACTGCAAGTAACAAGTTTCACAGAGTATAAAGCTTCGCTGGCGGGTTTTGTTTTTGTTTGTTTAGTAACGTATTTTGATCTGTCCGTCATCACTTTCAACTGCTTAAACCCTTCCTTTTTCATTAATTAAATCATGTTTGTTTATCATCAGCCCCCCGTGTAAATATTTGTTATGGGCGGGGTGCATGACTCTCTTGATAAAGGAAGGAAACGTTACAAGTTTCTTCTGTGTAAACCTTTTATGCAGACTAAGTGGGATTGATCTGAGGGTTTGATCCCCCCTGGGGCTGTGCTCCTGGGTGTGTCAAGTCCCTGAGGCTGAGCCTTCCCAGTGGCTCTCAGGGTCTATTGCTCTGCTGGGGGGTTATTACTTGTGCCTTTACTTGGGGAGACCAGGGATACTGGCTCAGCATGACAGGGTGGTGGGGTGCCCTAGAGGACAGGATGCTAGGCTTAAGGGCGGTGTTTCTTAATCTGTGTTGCATGTGGTGTGCCATGAGGCAGTCGGAGGTGTGCCATGGAGAAAAACAGAGTTCAAAATGGCTGCCCTTAAAGGGACAGTCGACTTTTTTCCCCCTCATTAACTTTCCCCCTATTTTTTTTTGTTGGCATTCCTCATAAAAATTGATTGTTTGGTGTTCCTCCATCTTAAAAAGTTTCAGAAACACTGCTCAAGGGTATGACCAGCCCATCAGGTGACAGTCCCAAGAGGATCAACCCGTCACAGAAGCGCTTTTAGAAAAGGACCCAGTTTTGAGTCAAGAATGTGGATGCTTTCGTCGATTTCTCCCAACCAGCTGTGAGTCCTTCTCTTGCAAATTAGGTCCAATTGCCTTGTGGGTCATTTTTGCGTGGGATTGTGGGAGATGTCTGTCTGGCTTGGGGAATTGTGGGAAGGATCTACCTGGTTCTCTCCATGGTTGTCCGCCTGCGGTCCACCCAGACAGCACACGGCTGTGGTGGCCCACACAACACCCTCAGGACCATACAGGTAGTGTATCTTGTGTGTGGCTATGACTCACCTAACACACAGGGAGCTGTCCACATAGGTCACAGTGGTCAATAAGTCGAGAACCACTTACTCTGGCTTGAAGAGCGCCTCACTAACCAAACCCGACCGAGGCTGGGAGAGGAAACTGAGATGCCAAAAGCCACCCAGACGGCCCAACGGAAACACGCATCTAGAACTAGGGAATGCCAATCTGGGTCTGCCCCACCCATTGGGCCACGCTGCCGCGGTGCGAGGAGTTCCGCCTAGTCATGAGGCGGAAGCACAGAGCCCGGCGTACGTGGCAGCCCACAGCATGGCACAATCTCGGGTTGGCGCAACCGGTCGAGAGGAGATGCGGGGAAACAGAGAAAGCGCTCCGGTTCTGGAAGAGAACTGTGGACCAAAACAGACTGGTCTGCATTGAAAACATGAGCAGCTGGTGATGCAGGCAAGGGAAGGCTCGCCCCGGCTGCATGGAAAGGCAGGGACTGTGGCATGGCAGCTGTGCTACCGGGCCACTAGGGAAGGATTGGGCGAGAGGTGGGCGGAGCTTGGCTCCAGGGGCGGGGCTAGGGCCTTGCCTTCCCTAGCTGGGCCTTCACCCGCCGGTCATGACTGAAAACGTCCAGCAGCAAAGTAACGTATCGTGGAGGCGTAGGAAAAATCCATGCCCTGGAGAGATGCAGCTGGGCCGAGCCAAACCCTCACGTAGACGGTAGGTTGATGGAGGGATCCTTCCATGTCCCTCGCGCCGCCTCTCGGGAGACGCGCCTCCCTTCCCGTCCACACAGCAATGTTGCAGCCTGTCGCGTTTGAAGCGTCGCTGTCACCGGGAAGGGTGAATGTGGCCTTGTGACGTCTGGAGACCAATCGGGGTCTACTGGAAGGCTCCCTGCTAGCCTCAGGGCTGGTGCAAACTGCCTCGCAGTGTTTCACGCCTCCCCTTGCTACTTCAGCGTCTCGCTGACCCACAGGGCCCGGCAGGAAACTTTTTGAGGGCCAGAGCGGCTCTGCTTGCTCATAGCAGCCCTTCACACCCTCAGCTTATCAGCTCTGGCCATCGGTTCACTCCCCTGCCTGCCGCATCCTCCTCCTCCTCCTCCTCCAGCTGCAGGTACGTGGC